GTGAACATCACTTCATTTTCTTCACACGCCTAGTCCTGCTGGCGCTCGATTTGACGTAAGCTGCTTGTCTACGCGGGCGTGCTGTAGCTCTACGCGTATTTTCAGTCCGTCGTCAATAAAAGAAGCGCACCCGTGCAGTTCAAGTTAGCCTAGCTATTGTTTGGTGCGCAAACATGGACGTAAATACCGTTTATAAAGTAACCGTTTTATTTCAGAGCAGAGCGACCTAACGCCACTAACTGACATTTAATAAGAGGAAATAACGGTTGAAATGAACGTTAACGCCTCTTTATAGATTCACTCTAACAACGGGAACTGTTGCCTAGCTTCCGCTCTTGTTTTGTTTAACCTGTGAGAGCGACGTGGTTAGCCTCAGTCGGTAATGAGAATATTCACCATTAAAAACCCCTAAAGGTTGACATAAAAAAACACTGCTTTTTAATTATTTCACACAATCACAGGTTGGCACGTTAATCCCTTGTTGACTGACCATCATGTTTTCATCTGCAGTAACTTGTTTCCAGGGGACATGGAAACCCTCATGGCCTATTTTAAACTGAATATCACAGTTTTAAATAGATGTTTCATATTAAGCCTCTCTGTGTGTTTGCATTATCTACACGATTTCTTCTGTCTGTCTGCAGGCATCAGTCATGCCTGTAGCTGAGATGGGAGACACACTGGAGTTTCAATGGATTTACCAGGAGGTTCAAAGGCTCCTGGGTCAGTTAATCTTTCATCGACCACCTCTCTATAGCTCCATTAAACTGTGCAGAGATGAGATATACTACTTTATAATATTGGAAACACAGTTCAGATAATATTCATAACAGACTGATATCCAGCAATACCTTTATATTCAATACATATAGTATATATGGGTATGTTTCCTGAATGTTAGCTGCAAAATCAGGAAAACATTAAATTGTATTTTTTAAAGTGTCTTCAGTTTGATTCGGCACTATACAAATACAATTGATTGAATTTATATAATTAAACCTCATATAATGATTCCTTGTTTTTGTTGTCTTATATATATGTATTTAGGTTGGTAGGATATTTCAGTTCCTCCTGATATTATTTTTAAATTATACTTTTTCATAGTGGTTGTTATTGCTTTGTTTTCTATCAGTACCTCTTTCTTTATATATATTTAATATTTTTATTGTTTATGTTTATTTCATTGTTGTGTTGGTGTCTCAAATTATTGTTTGTTTTATATTTTAAGTCAGGAAATCATGCAATCTTATTGTTTGGAAGTTATCCTTATTAACCTACTTCTATTATTACTATTTCATTATCTGCGATTATTATTTCTATAAATTAGTTTCTTTTTATATATATATTAAAGGGGTAATTTACATTTTCCAGAGTCCAGTTGCAAGTCGAAATAACTTATTTTTTATGCCGAAAAACCCAAAGATATGTTTATTATCATTCAAAACCAGAACATTTTATTTTGACATTTTTGCCTTTATTTGTTGAACGTGGTGTGTGTTGTGTGTTGTGTTGTGTGTGTGTGTGTGTAGTGCTTGGCTGTCTTTAAGCCAAAACATGTTAAACACTCCCCTAACCGACCAGATCTATCATTAGAGTACTCTCATTCTGCATTGTTCATCGTGCAGTACGTAATCAGCTCCCCGGCATCACACACTGCATGTGCACTCGCACACCAACACACACACACACACACACACACACCACACACACACACACAAAAACACACTCGCCAGCAGCCATTCCTATGTAAACTAAGTGCGACCCCGAAGCCATGTGTGGGAGGATACGGTCCTTTATTCCCTTGAAGATGAGCGAAAACAACATAATTTACACCGCTTAGTGATATATCACGTCCTGCTGCCTGAGGGTTAAAAATAGAGGCCTCTGGGAGATCAATACGGGGGCGTTCGAAAGACATAGTGCAGCTATGGAGCTGTATAACAGTTAACACACACCACACACACCACACACATATACGCGCAACCCACCGCACAGTGCCATCATCCGCGGCTGGCCAGCAATCTCTCTAAGTCAGTTCAAAGATACACACTGAGTTGCCGGGGATGAGGGAATGGCTGCTGGATGGCATGTGGGCTGCACTTGGTGGACGTGGTGGGGGTGGGGGAGGCGGAGATACATGTGTAAAAAAAAAGATAGAATAAAGAAAGAAACATCCGCACAGAGAAAAAAAATCTTACCTGTAAGTGTTTTAGTGTATTTTTACTTCACACAAGTGGAAAATATCTCGCCCAGCATCTTGATCGATATTCCAATATATCCCCTAAATTAATTCCCTTTCAATTCTCTCACACACACACACACGCTCCCTCCTGCTGAGTTACGTCACAAGAAAGTGATTGAGCGCTGCAGTGTGATAAGACTGGAGTTTTAATAAAAGTCTGAGATGAGCAGGCGTGAAAAGAACCCCGCTGCTGACCAACTGCTACACATTTTAAATACTCGTGTGTGTGTCTGTGTCTGTTTTGTGTGAGTGACCAACCCACAGGGATGAGCTTGTGATGATGGGCCTGTCCAGGAAGATTTTTAGCAATGCTTTGAAGATTTGGCACCAACTCTGAACTTGTTTGTCTGGTGCGTTGTTTACATGCTCGAGCGTGCAAGCCGGATATTTGAAGCAATTTAAGAATTTCTCTCTCTGGCTGCGAGTGGTGCATGTGCGCATCTGCTCATGCATGTTGCTCCTCCACACTTGTGTCCTTTCCCCTTGTGCGGCTCAACATGTGCTGCTGTGGTTACCAGTTTGCCGCATCAGGGCGGCCTGACCTACGATGGGCAAATTAGTAGGTGGAGATGAGCCGACGGAGAGGAGGGAACGGGCAGGGAGGATGAGCTGTTTGGCATCTTGAAGCCAAGTCAGCGTAACCCAGAGCCATCATAACCACAGGGAATTCAGTGAATGTGTTCTTTGAGTGTCAGAGCGGCTTTAGAGCTTCCATATGTTGTATCGGAGAGAAATATGAAGATGAGAAAAAGCAGGAACCTGGGAAATGGTGCATACAATTATTGAAGCTTAATATTTTATATAACAGTATATAATGATAAATCATGAACACATTTAGATTAAAAGCCAAAGCTAAAAGGAAAGTGAACATTGGATTTACATGTGGATTGTGGTGACATGTCTAAGCAGGAAGACACAGAATTCAGTCGCCATTTATTACAGCTTTCCGCGCATCAGAACACACAAAACTCGTCTTTCTCATAAAAAGTCTGGCAGAGAAAGGTTTGAGAAGAAACTAATCACCATCCACTCTCCGTGAAGCTGGAAATATTGGCTTTCTTCTCTGACGCAGATTTACAGATTTTCAAATGAATGATCCAGCTGTGTGTTTGACAATGAGCACTCTGAATTATCAGCGTCACGTGCACATCATTTTACTTTGTACTGTGATGTCAGTATTAGAGTCTCTGGCTGTTAGCTGTGTGGTCACGCCTTCTGTTTGTTACTTCTCACTTTGAAGCATCTGACATTGCGATGTCAACTCAGTCTGAATGTGATAGACTAGACAGCAGATAGAAATGACACAATCTGCTGTGTGAGGGGAGGGCACATTAAAATTCGACAGGTTTGTTTTTCCCTGAAAATAACACCGATAAGCCAAAGATTGCTTCCATTGCATGTGAAAATTGCTGATTAGTGTTAAGTCTCACCCATCCCAGTTTTTGTTGATGTCTCCTTAATTTCATTATACTCTGTTTACCTACATTATCTTATAATATTGTGTCACGACTGAGTCAATCCAATTTATAAAAGAATGTTTTTGTTTTTTTTTATGCTTAATTTGTTCTGTCAAATTAGTGTCACAGGAAGCAGACCAGTTTAAAGGATTTTTAAGCCTTGGAGAAAAGTGTCCATCTGAACTACTTTCAATCTTCATTTGGTGCAAATGTAGGACATAAAAGGACAAAAATAGATGTAAAATGCAACACCTTGACTGACTGTTCTGTGAATAAGAAGAATTAGGAAGGTGTGAGGTTTTATTGGTTCCTCTACAGTTTATCAGTCCAATACGATCTACAAGAGTTTTCTTTTGAGTTTTACTGTCCCAAAGGAAATAAATTCCAAAGAGCGGAAAACACTTTATGACTTCTATATTGCAGAAAGGAACCAGACAGAGGTATTGTTATCTAATATGATGTTATGAAATGTCATATTATAAGATCTGGGCTTAAAAGACTAACTGAGAAATTTGGAAAGCTGTGAAAACTTTAAAATGTCTTTACCTGAAAACAGGTGTTTCAAAAGCTAGGGTCCTTTTATGATTGTAATTGCCATACATTCAGTGTTCTATTCGATATGAATAAAATCCCAAACTCTGTTGTAATCCTCTCCCCTCAGTGTAAATTGTGAATGACAGTTATTACAGGTGAACTGCCGTTCTGTATAAGTGATCAGTCAGGCATCCCGTTCTGTCAGCAGTCTCACACGGCGAGCTGTGATGGAGGATGAACACTGTTGCCTGACAGCGAGGTGGGACGCCAGTTGTGTCCATTCTCATTGTGCAGTGCTGCGCGACGCCGTGCGGCGCAGCTGAATGCAGCTGGTTTGGGACAGTTCGGGCTGAACAGTTGCTGACACACTGAGACGCAGCTGTCTCCCTGAAGCGACGCTTTTACAGCTTGACACCAGCGGCGGAAGGGTGGCAGGAAGACAGAGGACGGACAAAAGGCCTGACTCATTCCCTTCATGCTCCCGTCTTACTCTTCGCATTGTCAGATGGTTCATTTTGCCCCCACCAATTTCCCGCTTATCACTTTTTATAGCGGTACACTCACACTGAAAGAAAGACGCAGCTCCGACCCTCCAGGTAGTCTCCAGGGAGGTCCACGCCTAATTAACTGGCAGCCTTTTGACATCGTTCAAAGCGCGTGGCCACCCGCTCTCCAGGCTGGGTTACCATTGTGTGTTTTGGCCCCACTGCTTTCTCCTCAACTCTTCGCACTCGTCATTTAACTATTAAAGAACAGCAAATAGTGAAATGGTGAAATGGAGGTTGAATACCACCTGGTTAGATCTGAGACTCCTATGACATGGCAGCTTCCGGCTCGGTTTGGTTGGTGAACACAAGCCCTTTGGGTCTGGCTGCTGCTGTAGGTGGGTCAGGTTTAGGCGTGGTGTCAGGGTGGGTTTGTGGGATCATCTCTGTTTGCCTTTGGGGGGGGACCACCTGTCTCGTTCCACACCAGGTCTGTTTAGACGGTTTCAGGCTGTAGTAACCAGCAGTGGAGGATCTTTGGTGGTCTTTGTTTTCTTTTTCTCTACTGGAGGTTCTTTCTGACTCACAGCTCACACATCGGCCTCTGGCAGCAGCAGGTGAAGTGAGACTTTACTTGTCTGTCTGTCTCACTGTTGGCTTGAAGAGCAGGTTCAACACGTGAGCCTGCATGGATAGAAACAGGAGCTTTCCTCATTTCTCTGTGGCTATGAACTCTGTCCATCACCTGGCTTGTTTGTGAGTTTGATGTGGTGACATTTATTGATTTATGTGCACAAATCAAGAGAGCACATTTCAACCTTTCAGCTGGGTTCTGGCACCTACTGAAAAGGCGCACAGAGAAGGGAGGCAACCCTTAAGACCAAAGCTCTAGCAATACTTGTCATATTACAGAAAACACTCTTTGGTGGATGCCTGTTGTGTATTTCTTCCGTTTTTGACTAAATAATTGGCCTAAAAATGTCCACATGTAGATTTAGACCCACA